ATATATATATAGATAACAATAAATTGTTTTTATTGCAAAAATATCAAAATATAAATTAAAAACAGAATTATTTTTTTTTTAAAAAAAAGGCAATATAGGGAACAACACCTTTTTAGCAACTAGCTTTATAATCATTAACTCCAACTTTTCTTATTTATTTAAAATCGAATCTCAAAAGCATAACAATCAACAATATAGCGATCGAGAAGAACAAAATAATAATAATAAAGAAAAAAAAAAGGTCAATCTTTGCTAGTTTTTAAATTTGAAGAGTTCATACTTTATTTACTATTTTCTTCCGACTCATATTTATATATTTATTTATTTTTTATACGAAGTTTTAGAAATTAGTATTACATTGAAATAAAATAGAAATAAAGGTAAAAAAATTAAATTAATCCTATTAGTATTGTATGATACAAAGGTAATGACATTTGTATAATATACTGTAAATTGAAATGATATTTGCAATATTAGATAGATAGTACAATTATTAAGAAAAAAAAAATATTTTATTATGGGACACACAAAAAAAATGGATAGATTGTTATAACTTTAAAATTAATTGTATTGTTATTACTTTAATTTGACACTGTTGATTTGTTACTTGTTTTGAATTAAAAAAAATAAAAAATAAAAAACTTTAATTTACTCATTCAACCGGAAACCCAACTCCGCTTTAACAACAGAAAATGCAGTGAGAGGCGGTGAAAAATCAATTTTCATGTGATTTATTTTTATTATTTTATTATTTTCAGTTTGTTTTATTTGAAAGTATTTATTTACTATTTTTTTTAAAAAAATAATGATACATTAATATCAAAATGTCCTTAGTTTTTATCTAAATTATAAATATATCATTGCACATACAATATTTTATACATAAAATTAAATGACAAAAATATCAAAATTTATTGCATACTTCCACTAATCAATTAAATATTATTATTTCTTAATATATTAAATCTGAAATAACCCATTTGATAACGGATGGAAGGAATAATAAATAACACTTGTAGTTTTCTATAAAAATAATTGTTCAATTTATAAAATATTACACATTCAATTTCTATCTAAATAAATAAATAAATAAAATCATGATAAAAATATAAAATCAAATACTAAAAAAAAACCCAAAACACTATTGTCTTAGATCAACTCCAACCAACAGTATAAATGCAGTGGGCTGTCAAAAAATGGGAGGTGGGGTTCCAACCCACCTCCAAATTCCCTCCTATTTTATGGAGTAACATTGTTTCTCAACTTATTTTTGATGTGCAGTTTTTTATTGTATTTTGTGATTTTTATTTTGTATTTTTGTTATTTTTTGGAATGTACTATGTAATTTAATTGTTTTAAAAGATGGTATATAATTTTATATTTTAAAAATTTATATATATTTATTTTTTAAAAGTGATATATAATTTTTTAGAAAGTTAGGGTGTAAATTATAAATATAAAAGATTATATAAAATAATATAAAAGAATAATATAAGAATATATTTTTTAGAGTAAAAATTGAAGTTTATAGTTGAATTAAAATTACAATAGATCAATTGCATTTATACCGTAGCAACTGCAAAAATAGTGTGAAGGATTAGAGTAAACTTAGTTCAGTTTGTATTGATTAAAAGCAATCACATTTTAAATTTTACAAATTAATTATTCTAAAAATAAAGTAAGTGCTTAAGAATATGGTGGTAGTGTGTAATACTCACTTGAAACAAGTCTACTATAAGATGACCTAATAATATAGAAGTAAACTCGTGACCGTAACGTTATAAATTTAAACCCCGACTGCTTCAAGATTATGAAACATTTATAATAAATAAAATACAACATTTTATTAGGGGCATAAGAAAAGATTAGCATAAAAATAACTACAGTCTATAACATGTTTAGCTTGGGCTTCAATAAAAATATCATTCAAATTTATTATATATATATATATATATTTTTGTTGTCATTTATTTTTATTTCCATTTTTTTTTAGGAAAAAAAAAAATTACTTTTTATATTTTTACCTATTTTTTTTAAAAAATTTTGTGTCCGATCAAATGAGTATACAATTGGATAAAAGATGCAATAATAGGATTATCTTTTTATAAATATTATATCAAAGTTTTTTTTGAATCAAAACCCTAAATTCAAATAAAAACCAAACAAAGTTATTATTACTATTTTTTTTACTATTAATAAATTGGATAGCATATATTTGAGCAACATAAATTAGTTTAATGTAGAAAGCGTATACTCTTTCTGTCCCCTAAACTTATATTCATTTCTTTTGTATGTTTATTTTATCCGTTAAATTTATACTCATTTTTTTTTTAATAAACGGAAGAAGTAGTGCATTCAATAGTGTACTAAGATGAACAAAACTTTAATTAAATAAGATCTTTTTACTAAATTGACTCAGTTTTTTCAATACTATTTTCTAATTGCGATTTTTTAAAAATAATAATAATAAACACAACATTTTTTACAAAGTTAAAAAAAAAAAAAATCAAATACTCATTACAAAAAGTAAAAAATATTTAATTAAAAAATAATAATATATTTTATATTTTTAACACAATTCTTCATTACACATACGAAAAATCAATCCATCTAATGAGTGGAGTCATTTGTAGTTACTAAAATAATTATACTAACATTTTCCATTAATGATACGAATATAACTTTGTTGAATAAGATCTTACAAGAAATTATTATTGCTGAAATTACTATAGTAACATTTCCCATCAATATATATTTGGTTGACTATTAAAAAGAATCCAATAATACATATTTAAAAAAAAAAAAAAATGAAATCAACAATAGGTTAAGTCATATTTCCCATCAAAGTTTCCATCTCCAACCCATAACTTCATTTATCCAGTAATTTTACTCCAATGACAACTCCATTTTTCACTATTATTCTTCAAATATTCAATTTTTCCAATTATTTTAGACAACTTTTTATTTTTATAATTTAAAATAAAATTTTAAAAAATTTTAAAAAATAAAAATTAAATTTAAAAGTCAAATTTATAATTTTAAAATTTAAAAAAAATAATAATAAAACAACACCATTTTTTGGCGTAGTGCAACACCAAAAAAGTAGCGTTGGATTTGACGTGGGTTGAAGATGCTCTTCGTAAATTTTCGGTATTATACTAACAACACACTTAATATGTGCGGGCAATATATAGATCATAAGCTACTAGTACAATATTTATAGTAATATAAATACAACAAATAAATTATAAACACATGTCAATAGTCTCGATAAAATAGATACTATTATTAATTTCAGCACATAAAATATATTAATACAACACAAGTATAAAATATAACAGACATCACACGTATTTTGTTTTAATTGAAAATATGTATTGTTTTTTTATATTTTATTTGTTCATCAGACCAATTAATACAGTGCTAATAACTCTAATAAGTACCCTAAACCCTCCTCTCCTATCAATATAATGTTATTTGTTACTCCCCCGTTCTAGGTAATTTGGGCGTGTTATTGTAGACATGAAAATTTAGGTAAAGTATTATTAGTAAGTAATTAATAAGTATATTAATAAAAAAATAATTATTGTATAGTAAAAATAATTATAGATTAAGATTAAGATAACTAAATACTTTAATTTAGATTAAAAAATTATAAAATATAAACTTTAAAATGTAATTAAAATGTATAATTATATTTTCAAAAAAGGAAATGACAAGTTGATGGACGAAAATAGAAAATAGATACAAATTATGTGGAACTGTAGAGTACTTTATAATCATTATGGTCATTAAAGATTACCATATGAAAGTATATTAATCAGTAATAAGAATGATTGAAGTATAAATATCACTATATTTATATTAATAATTATATTCAAAGACTACATGGTAATTAAACAGCTCCATTAATACATATTACAACAATTAACTAATAAATTTTGCTATAACAACAACAACAACAACAATAATAATAATAATAATAATAATAAGAAGAAGAAGAAGGTTAAATTATATAACATTCCATTGTATTTTAATAAAAATACACAAAACACTCTATATTTTATTTATTGCGTGAACCTCCTTGTGTTAATGTAAAGTTTGTATAAAATACCCTTATTTTGAAAAAAAAAATATTTAAGATATTTTTTATTTTTTATGTATAAAACTTGCCGTAACTTAATTTTTTTATTTAGAACTAAATATCAGTTTTGGACAATGAGAGTGTTTCATGCAAATTTTAAATTAATACAAGAGAGTTTCACGCAATAAATAAAATATAAAATGTTTTATGCATTTTTAATAATAATAATAATAATAATAATAATAATAATAATAATAATAAAAGCTGAAAAAGACAGAAATAACGAAAAATGTGAATGTAACGAATGTGTAAATAGTCATATCATTGAGAGTGATAAAAGGAAAATTAAATGGTGTTGGTAAAATGCTATATCACCCAATCTGCTTTCTTTCTATATTTATCATATGATTTATCAAACAATAAATGCGATAGTTTTTATTTTACAAATATGGTTGTATTAATATTATAAAATATTAATAGGAGTATTTTTAAATTTTTTTTTTTAATTTTATAATTTTAAATTTTATAATTGTAATTAAATTAATTAATTATTTTAAATTTAAGTTATAATTATTTGTATTTTATTAATATATTTTTAATTAATTAATAATCATACAGCACATACTTTTCTTAAATTCCCTTGTCAACTTAAATAGAGGAGTGATGGAGTACAAGATACTTAGAAAAATAAAGAAGAAGAAAAAAAACAAAATACGATACCGAAGCCCCTCCGTAATCCATATAAACCTCGCGCCTGTCGAATACCGCCGATCAAATCTGGCCGTTCCTTTCCAAATCTCGCAGCCGATCTCAACCGTCCGATCCATTCCTCCGCTTTTACAACCCAAAGAGAAAAAAGCAAAGAACAATTATTCAAAACAAAGTTGAAAGGCACCTCTCTCTCACTAGTCTGTATCTATATATGTATGTATATCTAGAGAGAGAAAACAGAAGAGAGAGAGAGAGAAAACATGCAGAGCTCAACCACCGATGATCAATGTCCTCTCTCACTGAATTCCCATGAACTCACCGCCAATCCATCAATTTCATTTTCAATTTCTCACACCTGAATTTTTTTCCGATCGGAAATTCTCCACATGGCGCCGGAGATGGATTTCGCGGCGGTGCTCGACTTCCTCCGGCGGAACGGTTTGCGCCACTGCGAATCAGCTCTCACGGAGGAACTCATCGAGAAATCGCGCTCCGGATTTCACAAACTCTTCTTACCTATGCCGCCGCCGCCGCTGATCATAACTCCGGCGAATCAGAAACCGCCGCCGCGCGAATCCACCGGCGGCGAGTGGAGCTCCGATTGCTCGTCGGACTGCGAGTTCGTGACCGCGGCTTCTTCCGGTGGTGAAATTTCCCCCAATTTCTGTGCCTAATTAAATAACCGCCTTAGGTTTTTCACATTTTGATTTATCTATGCGTTCGCCTCTTTGTCTAAATCATAAATTCATTTTACCTGTATTTATTGTTCATATGATAATGATGTGATGAAAAAAAAAATCTCTTAAACGTTACGAATCATCAATTCGTCAGTAAAGTGACTCTAAATTTCAAACTCTGTCCTGTTTATGTGAAAACAAACTTTAATTTTCCCCATTTTGGATTTATCTGTTCGTTTAGGTGTGTTTTCTGTGCCTGTCGTTGAATCTTTGTCTTAACCTATTCCAGATTCGACCTCGAACATAATCCGATCGTCGTCTCAAGCCGTCTCCGATGACAGCGGCTCGCCGTCGTCGTCGAAATTCAGCACAGCCAGAGATTGCCCTGTTTCAGGAATGCAAAATGATCAATTCTTTTGGTGCAAATATGACAGCAACGACGAGAATGCAATGCCGCCGGAAACCGGCGGCTGCGATTTCGCCGGAAATCTAGGCGAAGACAAGTTTATTACATCGGTGCCGGCAATTGGAGATTCATTGATGTCCGAATCTTACAAGGACTACTCCTCTCCACCTCATCCCTGCCACGACGATCTTAAGGCAGAAAATGTGTGCTATGTTAAGTATGTTAAGTCCGAGCATCGCGATGAAACTACACCCGACTTTAGTCCAAAGAAAGATTCAGACAACGCCTTGGCAGCCGATGAAATAATCGACTGCGAACCAAACAACGACGAGGTTTTACATAGAGACGAGGATTACGAAGTGTTCGATTTAAGAATCATACATCGGAAAAACAGGTTCGCCGAATCAAGCTTTAGCTCCTTTCGGACAATGTAGTAACTTATCATCTGCGTTTTCTTACAGGACAGGATTCGAACAGCACAAGGAACTCCAGATTGTCTTAAACACCATCGTAGCCGGCAGATATTACGTCACCGAGTTCCTCGGATCGGCTGCCTTCAGCAGCGTCGTTCAGGCGCACGATCTTTGTTCGGGAATGGACGTTTGCCTGAAGATCATAAAAAACGACAAGGATTTCTTCGATCAAAGCTTGGACGAGATCAAACTACTTAAGTATGTCAACAAACACGACCCTTTCGACGAGCACCACATCTTGCGCCTTTACGATTATTTCTATTACAAGGTAACTTTAACCAAAGCTCGATTCGATCTCAATCGATTTCTTGAACTAAAAACTATGTTGTAGGAGCATTTATTCATCGTCACCGAACTCCTACGAGCGAACTTGTACGAATTTCAAAAATACACCCAAGAATCCGGCGGCGAGCTGTATTTTACGCTGCCTCGACTGCAGGTTGGATTCCGTTGATTACTAAAAACTTTAATTAGCACGACCAAAAACGCTATACAGTGCATTATTTGCAGGCCATCGCGCGACAATGTTTGGAGGCGTTGTTGTATTTGCACGAGTTGGGAATTATACATTGCGATCTTAAACCCGAAAATATTTTGGTGAAAAGCTACCGGCGATGCGAGATAAAAGTGATCGATCTCGGGAGTAGTTGTTTTGAGACGGACAATTTGTCGCTATACGTGCAATCCCGTTCCTACCGGGCTCCCGAGGTCATGTTAGGCCTCCCGTACGACCGCAAGATCGATCTTTGGTCACTCGGGTGCATTTTGGCCGAGCTATATTCCGGGGAGGTATGTCGTTGTACGAGTGCTCGTGTTTCGATTGATTTAATAGATTTTGCTACGATATTTTATAGGGATAGTTTTAGCACGCATGATAGTAAAATATATTCTCTACGTTCGGACAATAGGTATATATTTGGTTTCTACACAGAGATTAAGGGCGACGATTTTGGTGCACCGTGTTGATTTGACTTAATTAATCTATATAACCAAAGCATAAAGCGTATGCTTTATATATATAGCATAAGACAATGTTATGTCATATTGAAGTATATGATGTGAAGTTTTATATTTGTGTTGTGTATGTATTGTATGTTTTGATTATATATGTTGATTGGATCAAATCGACATCGATGTTTGATCTGGTAAGCTCTCAAACCAAAAGCAATGATTAAGAAATAATCGTATTTAAATAGTGGTTAAGCATGCTTTAGTGTTCAAATAAATTTAACGATATTTCTAATGTATAGTGTAGTCAAATTTATTGTATAGAAATGAAATGTGTACTTTATATTTGAAAATGATAAAAAATGACAAAATGTATACCTTTAGATTAGATGTAAAAAATATATTATGAAAATTCAAAAGAACACACTTCGTTATTTTATATATACTTAATATTGATTATAAAATTGTGAGATGGTTTTTCAGGTGCTTTTTCCGAATGAAGCCATTGTATTGCTTCTTGCACGTATGATCGCGTTGCTTGGCCCGATCGACTTGGATATGCTGCAAAGGGGCGAGGAGACAAACAAGTATTTTACCGAAGAATATGATCTCTATTACATTGACGAGGTATGTACTAATTTTATTTGCACAATTGTTTAAAATTCACGAATTACTTCAAAGAAAAACACAATATTATCATAAACATTATGAAAAATATTTGCATATACGTTCGTAGTTCAACTACTCTTTGAATTATTATTTGTATATTGATCGGTTGCTGGATGAAATTCTATAGGAAACAAATGAGGTCGAGTATATCATTCCAGATGAGTCGTCGATTGAGCGTCATTTGCACATATTTGATTCACTTTTTGCCGATTTTTTGAAATATTTACTTGAGATTAATCCGATGAGAAGACCAACGGTAAAAGAAGCGTTGATGCATCCCTGGCTTCGTCATACATATGGTGAAATATAATATAGTATCCAATTTTTCTTCAGTAAATTTTTTACCTTGTTTTATTGTTTATTTGATTTTGAGTATATTTTCTCATTGTATTTGAGTGTTAGTATATATGTATTCTCAATAATTTGATTTTTATTTTTTGGGTATGTACTTCTAGTGATAGTTGAATTTATGAAAATATAGAGAAAATGTGAATAAACATTCTTCCGGATCAAGTGCTTACTGTTTTTTATTCATCATTTTGCTAAATAGTTAAAAATTAATTATTTTAATTTATACAATTAAATGGTATAATTAATATATTTTTGTTTCATTTTTAATATAGATATATGTGTTATTTTAATTAGAGACTAATTTTGTCTCATTGAGTGTAGAATGAAATTTTAATGATTTTTATAATAAAATTGTGATTTTTTTCGAATGAGACGGATTGGATTGTGTGAGTTGATATGATATTTTAGATATAATTAGAATGATTAATTGATATTTTGGTCTTTAAAATAAAAATTTAGGAATGTTATCTTGGATTTGACATTAGTTTTTTGATATTTGAGCTAACGATGAATTTATGATGAATTTTATAAGATATGCGTTGTATTTTAATATTTGATTGGTCGTATTTGGTGGTTAGATGGAGTCCGATCGAATTAAGCCTCACGAGTCGGTGGTAGTTGAGTAGATTAACTTCGTAAAGGGTTAAATTATGGATACTTAAAATGAATAGACAATCTGACTAAGTGTTTGAATTAAATAGGACATTATAATTCCATCTTCTTATGTGATATGTGGTGATATTGTTGTAATATGATATTATTAATTGCTAATGAAAATTGATGCGATAAACCGTTGATCAGGTGATTGATGTTGTTGATAGAAAAATAATTATTGATAATTGATATATGAATATGTTGTCTAAATGATGAAATATAGGGTGTGTTTCCTTAAGCGCGGTTTGAAAATTTTTTCTGTTTAATCACTATAGGTTTGAGATCGCGCAAGAGTATTCTGGGGTCTGACACATTCCGATAGGGTTTGGGAGTAGGCGTGCAGGGTGTGTTTTTAGGCTTTTTTCTATCATATTTTTATTTTTATTTTTTAAAAAAATTGAAATATAATTTAATATTTATTATAATTATAGGGGGAAGTATATATACAATATATATTATTTTGTAGAGAATAAAAATTTTTATAATACAAATAAATAAAAATTTAAATATATATTGGGTATAATATAAATTCATAATCAAATCATACAATATAAATTTCATCAATTAAATTTAATACATATTTATATTATTTTATTCATTATAAATCAAATCAATATACATCAAAACTCCTCAAATTCCGATCAAACTCAAACTCAAACACAAAAGAAACAACAAAATTCAAACCTATCTCAAAATTCAAATAAAAATCAAACTCAAACCCAAATTCCTCCAAAACCCCCTAAAGAAACACACCCATAGTTGGTCGAAATATGTAAGTTATGAATTTGACCGGACTTAGTTGTTGATTGACAGGTGAATTGTGACTTAACCGTTGATTAGCAAGTCAAATTATTGAATTGAGTGAGCTAAAGATTTCATGAATGACATATTTAATTCTTTAATGTTACTATTTTTTTTTTTTTTTTTTTTTTTTTACAGAATTGAATTATAAACTTTTATCCACTTGATACATCATAGGATGTGACTTTTATCGAGCATGCATAACCTTTTGAATTGGATATTGTCCAAATTTATTTTTAGTAATTTTCTAGTTTTTAGATATATTGAGAATTTCGAATATGTGTAATGACCATCTATAATTGCATGTGTTGAATTACTTTTGGGTGTTGGTAAAATTATTTTATAACTTCTGCAAAGAAAAATGTTTATATTCGTTTTTATTATGTTTTAGTCTTGGCATCGAGGAACTACACGTTCATACATGTTGTTGTTGTTTCGGTGTTGACGATTAACATTCCCATAATAATTTTAGGTGTTACATTTATGTTGACATACTCTAGTTAATAAATTGTGTTATATTAATATATTAAATAAAATTAAATATATTAATTACACTTGAATTTATTTTAAATTTATATTATTAATAAATTATATATTTTTAAATTTCTTATATTATACTCCCTCTGTTGGAAGGGTGACGTTTACTTTTTGCACGTACATTTTTTAATATTAGTATTATATTGAATTGTAGTAAAAAAGACAAAAATATTCCTATTAGTACAGTGTAATATAAAAGTAATGACATTTGCGTAATATATTGTAAATTGAAAGGGTATTTATTATGTTAGGTAGGTAGTACAATTACTAAATTAAAAAATATTAACCTTGTTTTGGACGGAGCGAAAATAAAAAACGGTAACTTTTCAATGAGATGGAGAGAGAATAATTTTTATTCCCTAGCAAATAATAGATATTGATCATATTTGTATTAAAATTTTGTTTTTAAAATATTATCATGAATAAATTTTTTATTTAATATACTATAAGCATTTACTTTTACATAATCGATCAACATAAATTATTAAATCATATAATTCTCAATCTCTTTGGGTGATGAAGAAGAAGAAACATACAACGACGTTGACTCCAATAGACTATAGCTGAATTTTCATAAATACCCCTGTCTTCCAGATCGAAGACCTCATTTCAAATATTATTATTATTATAGAGTATTAAATATATGGATTTACATTTTTGCCACTGTTCCTAGATAATATAACCCCATTTTAAATATTATTACGAAGTATTAAATATGTATATTTTACTCTCACTAATGTATTGTATTATAATAATATATATTAATTATACTTGAATTTACTTTAAATTTATATCTTTAATAAATTAATATAATATATTTTTTTATTTTTTTCATAATTATGTGTCTTTGAGTGAGTGCACTACCAGAAATTTGTGGTTTGACTTCGGAAAATTGCAATGAATTCCGAGACTATTGGAAAATATATATATTATATATATTAAATTAACAAAATTGGTGTGGCTTCGGATTTTTAAAATAGTTTCGAAATTTTCGAGGCTATATCAAATATATATTTTATTTTATTAAATGGTCTCGGAATTTTCGAGATCAAATTAAATATATATTTTATTATATGAAATAGTCTCAAAATTTTCGAAGCTAATTTAAATATATATTTTATTATATTAAGTTGCTTCGGAATTTTCGAAGCTAACTTAAATATATATTTTATTATATTGAATGGTCTCAGAATTTTCGAAGCTAATTTAAATATATATTTTATTATATTCAATGGTCTCGAAAATTTTGAAGTTAACTTAAATATATATTTTATTATATTTAATTTGCTTCGGATCCCTTTTAAATTTTGAGACAATTTTTCCGAAAGAATTTAATAAAATTCTGGTAGTGGTGAGAAGAAGAAATATACAACAACCATAAGTGAATTTTCAAGAATGTTCTTACTCTTTCTCTATCACCCTTTTGTCCTCACTCCTTAGATACGATAATCTCATTCCAAATAGTACTATTCAATAGTATTAAATATGTGGACATACATACGACGATCTCATTCCAAATATTAAAATTACGGAAAATTAAATATGCAAACCTACTTTTTTTCCATTGGCCTCTGGATATGATCCCCTCATGGGTATTCTCCGGAATCCAATATTCAGGACCATCGTAAAAAAGTCACAATCGTTCGATTAAATTATTGATCAATGGATGAGATTGCAAGTAGATATATAATTCGATTCATATAATAAATAAAGCAATAATTTATTTTAGCACAAATTAAGCGAATACAAATATAGATAGATGTTGGTTGTGTTTATAATCTGAATTAGTTCACATAAAAAAAAAAAAAAGAGAACTCTACGTTCTTCGCCGATATCGATCAAAGAAAAAATACAGTGGAGAAATCAGAGCTTGGAACAAGATCAAGCAAAATAATGCGCATTCTGATCGGTTCCAATATGCCATAGACGAAGATAACGTTATAGAAAGTGCAGAATGTGGTAATTTTTTTCTATTCTTCGTCTATCACGAAAGTTATGTATTGACGAATTTTTTTTACATCATATCTTTACCTTTTGAATATCATATTCAAAAGATACATGCACCATGATCATATTAGTCATTCAACATATCAATAGTCGCACACAAGAATTATTGAATAAATGAATTGAAACATTTGAGGAATTGTAGGCTTTCGATAGTGCAATGTGATACATTAAAAATTTATCCGAATATCGAACCCAATAACAGTGGAATGATATGTAGGCTGAAAGAAAAAAATAGTTTGTATTATTTTCTTGAGATGATTTTTATTATTTTTGTAAAAATTATATAAGTATTCACTTAAAAACAATAACTTTTATAATAAAATTTAATCGATTGCTGTAAAATCATATTTCAAACCAATAAAGTAGTGAGTATCATACCTTATTCAAATTTTAAAATATTAAATTATAATAAGCGACAAAATTGAATCTTAATGGACGTTGAGGAAGTATTTCGTATTAAGTAAGAATAATATGATTCTTACTGTCTCAATCATCCAAAACTTTGCAATACTCCATAATTTCTTTTGGTGTGGGAGGCTTCTCTGATATACCGGCAGGATGGTCGAGTATTGTAAAATCACTGGTAACATATCTCCACAGTCATTTACCAATAAAAAATACTCTTCATGGATTCGGCTCATAAATCACAGTTATCATCCATCAACATAATCGAAATTCTAAATGCTTCCACGCAATCCATATTGATAGCCATATATATATATATAATTTTTTATTTTTTTAATTATTTATTTATTTATTTATAAATATACATATATATATATATAACAGAATATATATATATATGTATACTTAATTAAGTCACGCACCAATTTCCAAATCTCCAGATGATTTCCGTTGAAAGCAGTTGGACGTGGTCGTGCGTTGTTGGGCTCGAGCAGGGATGCATGATAGGGCGCAGGACAACGGTCGAACGTCGAGGCGGGCGTGGCTGGTCGAGCGATGAAGCTTGGCGCTGGACGGTGGTCAGATATGGAGTTGAGTGTGGGGAAGTGAGCGGGAGCGCAACGCAGAGGTCCGTCACGGAGGCACCGTCCTGATTTGGTCTGATGTTGGCAGCGAAAGAGAAGTGCAAGCGCCGGTGACGACGACGGCCGTTCTCGATGAGGCGGAGTCGACGGCGACGGCTGTGACATCTAGCGGTGGC